AAAAAAAAAAAAAAAAAAGAGCCAGGCCAAGGTCAAACAAAAAATTTGAATGTAATTGATTAAAACATGAGATGATGATACCATAATTTAATATAGCACTCTGTTTATAAGCTCTATATTTATTTCAAAACTCAACTTAATTCTCTCAACAGTTCCATGAGGGAGAAAGGACAGGCATGCTTTCCATTCTTACACTTGATAAAACAGACACAGGCCACAAAGCTACCAAATGGTTGAATCTCAGCTAGGACCTCAGATTTACTCCTACTTGGTGCAACATTGTGATTTACTCCAGTGGTTTTCAAGCTGTTTTCCAGAAACACTTCAAAGATTCTGCAAATACTTGATTCAAATTTCATTTAGAAATATAGGATACAATTTTTTTACATGCTCAAATAATCATTAGAGATATTAGAGACAAATAATATACTAGCTTCTACTTTAGAATTCACATTTTTTGTACAACTCTTAGACTATATCTGATGCAGTTTCCAGTTATTTCTGTATTTTATTTCAGTTACATGGCAGTAAGGAAATTATAAGACACAGAAATAACTAGAGACTAGAAACATCAAATATAAAATTATAACTGTCATCTATAATTATAGCTTAATTTTTCTCATAAATGACTAATAATTTAATCCTGTTCCATTTATTAATGACAACAAAATAGGTTTTTAATCTTTTAAATATTGGAATTCTACATAAGATTTAACAAAAGACAATGTTAAAAGTCAATTATATCTCAATTAAAAATATGTAAAAATGTATAGAAGGCAGTAATCAAACACATCAAACACATGAAGGCCAAAATTAAGGATTCACTAACATCCAAACTATGAAAGGGGCCAGATAAAATATTTACTTAACTGCATCAAAGAATAATTCTTTTATAACTTGTTATACTTTTAAAAAGTTTCCAATTCAGCTTTCCATCTTTTCTAGCAAGATCTTCTAAATGTCCTATAAAAAAAGCATTTGATTCATAGGGCAAGGGTGGCAAATGCAAATGTTTTCCTTGTAGAAGTAACTTAGGAAGTATCTAAGGAATGACTCTGGTATATAAATTTGGCCCAAGATAAGGAAGACAATAGGGAGTGCTGAGGCCTGGGACAAACTGGAGATTTCCATATTTCACCATAAGGCAATACAATTCGTCAGAAAACGCCCAACCGAACAACAGCAACAGAAAAGCAGCAGCAGCACTATGCATCAAACACCGTGTCTGCAGCCCACCTCTCTGGGGAACCAGGGTGCGCCCCTGATTTAAGCTCAACCCCTCCTATTGCTCAGCCCTGCTTCCTATTCCTGGGGCTTATGGCATCAAAAGCAATTGTCACTACATTTATACTCTGTCACAAGCAAATCTGTTTATAATGATTTATCTTGTCTTCCCTTGATTCTTTGCAAAGTAAGTATGTAATATACTAAAGTTTGGTGTATTTTGCCCCCACCACTTCCCTAATCCCTCACTCCCTTTCTTTACTTTTTCTTTTTCTCCTCTTTCTGTACAAGAGTAATATTTCCTTGCTAAGCCAGAATCCCAAAGCATACTTTTACCCTTGCTTATCAGTTGAAAATGTCAGTGGGTTTCACCCTTTCCTCCAGTTGCCTTTCTAGGTCTCAGGACATCAGTATGGGATGCTTCAAAACTAAATTCTAAATTCCAGGCAGGCAACATTTGGGATAATAAAATCAAGTAGCTCGGGCTCCGTGCACAGAATCAATTTAACTAAAATCTGATAACTTTGAATTAAAATATAATTATGTAATTTAAACATGCTGATAAATGTCATTTGGAAAAATCTCTTCAATATTTTCCCTTTCCTGATGTCAGCAGTTCCTAAAGAGTAGTGTTTATGGAAATAATAAATTATAGTGAAATGTGTTTTCATATTATAATTAATCATAAATGCTTCTTTTATTTTTTATTTATTTTTAATTTTTTATTTAAATTCAATTTAGTTAACATATGAATGCTTCTTTAAATAGGAGCTTAGATTAATTAAACTCTAAACACTTACCAAACCATTCTGATAAAAATGTTTCAGATTAAGCATCCAAAAAAAACCCCTCTAAATATATACTCCACTGCAAATAAGATGCTAAAGTGATTAAAAAAAAATGCAAGTTTAGTATATCTAATTCTGTAAGCTACTTCACAGATTTTTGGGGAGGAAAAAAATCACAAAAAAGTGACATAAGTGGTAGGAACGAGCATTTTCACCATATAACTATTTCATGGCTTCAACTCCATCACTCACTTGGCAGATGATATGACCACTGCATGTTCATCAGAATTGAGGATTTTTGTAAGATGAGCTGCGACGGAGTCCTCATAAATTGTCATCTGAAAACAACAACAACAAAAAACCCTATACTGTATTATTGTTGCTGGCATTTATACCGCTCAGTTATTACTGCTTCTAAAATGGGACCGCTGAGGACACATGTGACACAGGGCAATGAATATAATGACATATACAAAAGAGTCATCATATGAAATAAATAAAACTTCCTTTCTGTAAAAAGCTTTTCGCTTCTGAAATTCCTTAATCTACAGTCTTTAAAAAAATCCATAAAATTCATTAAATTAAAAAAAATGTCGAATAGCTGAATAGATAAAGAACCCCTGCAAGTCGGCACAAAAAAGCGCCAGACGACCTAATGAAAAATGAGCAGAAGACTAGAAATTTAAAGAGGAAGATATACCAATGGACTACCACCAATGACAGGTGATCAACCTCATCAGCCATCAGGCAAACATAAACTAAAACCACAATGTGGTTCCACCGTATCTGTCAGAAGAGCTACAATGAAAACAAAAGCAGCAGCTACGCCTGGGAAGTGCCAAACATTGGCGAGGTTGTGGAGCAACAGAACTCTCATTTGCTGCCACTACCAGTAGGAGAGCAGGAGTTGATACACATACTCCAGAAAACTGCTGGGTATCTATCAAAGCTGAGCATATGCATATACCATAGGACCCAGCAATCCCATTCCTACATATGTATATACCCCCAAAAAATGCGATGTGCGTTCACCAAAGGACACGTGCCAGAAAACGTTCACAGCAGCCTTCGTTCAATAGTAGCATGGATAGAGGTGCCTGAGTGGCTCAGTTGGTTAAGCGTCTGCCATCAGCTCAGGTCATGATCCTGGGGTTCTGGGATCGATCCCCGCCTCGGGCTCCCCGCTCAGCAAGGGAGCGTGCTTCTCCCTCTCCCTCTGCCTGCCGCTCCCCTTGCTTGTGCTCTCTCTCTGTGTGTCAAATAAATAAATAAAATCCCTAAAAAAAAAATAGCAGCATGGATAACAGATTGTAGCCTATCTGTGCAAGGGGGTACTATGGGGCAATGAGAATGCTGTGATTTACAGCTGTGCCACAAGATGGATGAATCTCACAGACGTCATGTTGAATGAAAGGATTCAGAGAAGGGCTGCTTACAAAATGATTCATTTCATAAATACAGAAACAGACAAAAATAATCTATGCTTTTAGAAGCCAAGAGAGTGGTTCTTGGGGTGGGAGGTGGGGGTGGTGAATGGAAGGGGTAATCAGGGGGCTCGTGGGGTGCTGGTCATGCTGCCTTGTGATTTGGGTATTGATGACATGGGTTCATTTTGCTTGTGGAAACTTACCAACTGTACATTTATGATCTGTGCACTTTTTTGTATGTATAATTCAATAAAAAGTTTTTTTAGAATGCTGAATGCACTGTTCTACAACCATGTAAATAAATATCTCTCTCAGAGAAGGAAGGAATCAAAATGCTCAGGGAGTCCTATGTCCCCTTTTCTGTGTGACTCAAAATTTAACATTCTGTTGAAAGAATATATCTTCCTAATAAGTAAAAATGTGCACAATATCTAAACAGCCTCAATTCAGAGCCTTCCATCAAATGTCTGCATCAAATATATACCATGTCCTACAGCTCAAAAATTTCCAGTGTAAACCATCTGCTCTATTCAAGCTGCCTCCTGTGCTCTTCTATCCTACTCAGATGTCCTTTCATTGCTTCTTACCCATTAGCATCAGTTTATTCACACTTAAGTGAAGATCCAATGACCAACCCCCCTCCTTTAAAGCCTTCCTGACTAGCGTCTTCCCAAAGAGATCTCACTCCCGATTTCCATCCAGTTCCACCAGTGGCTAATCAGTATGTTAGTCTTTTGAATTTCAATCTTACTTTCTTCATAGGCAGAAAGACAAGAGGGGAGGATCCTCAAAGCCTCACACAATATTGTGTTCACTTGCAAATCCACTTCACTCATTTTCTAGTCTAAACATTAAAAGCTACATCTTTATAGTCAAGATCAGAAAAATGAAAATATGCCTTTTTAAAAAGCAATGAAGGGAAGTATTTTTCAAAAAGACGGTTTTATTTCTTTTCCCTACAGGACAGATTGTCATAAAGCCTAAGAAGGTAGGGAAAAATATCTTACCTTTTTTTTTTAAAAAAGATTTTATTTATTTATTTGACAGAGAGAGACCCAGAGAGAGAGGGAACACAAGCAGGGCGAGTGGGAGAGGGAGAAACAGGCTTCCCGCTGAGCAGGGAGCCCGATGCGGGGCTCGATCCCAGGACCCTGGGATCACGACCTCTGAGCCGAAGGCAGACGCTTAACGACTGAGCCACCCAGGAGCCCCAGGGAAAAATATTTTAAACTCTCATTAATTCCATTTGAAGGTACATGTAAAAATTCAAGTTTTTTTCCTTTAAAAATAACCAAAGGCAAAGAATACAACCTCTTCCAGAGGTAAAAGAAATAACCTCTCTGTCCAAAGATAAAATTATTGATGTCATTTATTAACCTATTACGTAGTCACATAGAGTCAGGAAGTTAAGGTAATAATAATAATTATTTTTATTGTGTATCAGGCACTGTGATTAAGCATTCTGCATGTATTTATCCCATTAATTGTCCTATTTTACAGCCAAGGAGCGTTAGGCTCAGGAGAGTTGAGCGATTTGCCCAAGACCCACAGCTAATGAAGAAAAGACAAACTAGGGGGCCGGGTCTGTGGCTTATCCCACCATACTGCCTCCACCCCCCCGCCCACAGCAAGTCTTGGTCTTTGGTTAACAGTATTTGTCAAATATAAATTTTGTCATTTCTCAAGTGTATCATTATAACAGCCTGGTAGCTGGGATCCCTATCTCTCTCCTCCTCCTTTCAAACCATTCTCCACTTCATGACACAGTGATTTTTTTCTAAAACAGAAATCGGATCATGACACATCTCTGCTTAACATGTCTGAGGGGATTTCCGCCCCCCCCCCTTACATTTCAGATAAAGTCAAAACTCTTCAGCTAGCAAACAAGACCTTCCATAATTCCCAGGATTCTCCATGATCCAAACCCTTCTTCTCTCCCCTGTCACGTCTTTTGATGCTTTTCCCTTGCATGACCCGCTCTAACATGACAGTATTACCTGCAGTGACCCGAATGTACCAAGGTCCTTACTATCAGGTTCTACGCCATGCTCTTTCTCAACTGGCTAATTCCGACTTCTCTTTTTTTTGTGCTGAAAACCCAGTTTAGGTACAACCTCTTCTGTAAAGACGTCACTGAACTTGCCAGACAAAGAATCCTCTCTTCTGTGCAACCATTATACCCTGGAGAGAACTTAAACATAACTGATCATTTATTGTCTGTCCCTCCCAATAGAACAGAGATTCTCCAACTTTCTGGCCTCATCGCATCCTTAATGTCTGAATGATTTTGTCACAATACCCCTAGGCCAAAAGGAATACCTAACAGTAGTCAAGTACAAACGACTTAATAAATATTTATGTCCTAACAACTTAAGAGCCCTTTGAAAAAATAATAAATATAATTTAAAAGAAAAAACAGTATCTTATTTCATTCTTAAATAACTAGCTGTGAGCCTGTGGGCACTGTATACATCTCAAGCCTTGAAATTGGATTGGACGATAACAACCTGAATTCCTATCCAACACTAATTTTTGTGTGGTGTTTGCTTTTTATCACAGTGACTACTGAAAACCCAAGCTTCACAAAAATATGATGTCATCAAAAGGAATGTAGTGCAACCTAATGTTTAAGCTGTCCTTTAAGCTAGTAGTCTGTATGGTGTCCAATACATTTGGACAAGCTAGTAGTCTGTATGGTGTACAATACATGCTGAGTATTACAATTAAATTTTCTTTGAAATTTAAAAATATCTCATGGTAGCCCTTGGGGCTCACCATGATGTCCTGAGACCCCTGCACACAGCTTAGGAACCACTACTCTAAGATGACTGAAGTGGGAGGGCAAGGCCTTTATGTCCACTCCCAGATACCAACAGGCATTTAATATTCTTAAATTTATGAACAAATAAAGTTACAACATCTTAGCATGCTGTAACCAAGCAGCTAGGAAACAGAAAGAACTGGGGGGACAGAAGCTTCGATAAGAGTAAATTTAACAACAAATTAATAGGAAGAATTTCATTTCCAGAGATTTGAGGCCATTCTCTCCCATTTTCGGGGAGTTGGTGGAGATACAGCAGCTCACACCTTCTTTTTGATGACCTTACCATTAATAAATAAGCAGCTATTGACTCACTAGGCTGGTGTGATTGGGGTATCATACAAAAGAGACTAAAACTATGACTCTTGCATCAAAAAAGCTTTTAATCCAGTCTGAAAGCAATGGGAATCTGGCTTCCAAGAAATACACAAGGCCAGAGGGCTTCGATGCCAAGATGCCCATAGTTCCAAAAGCTTTTGGTATTTAGAACAAAAATTAACAATAAGAATTTTTTATTAACTGTCCACTTTGTGCCAGTCACAACACCAGATGACAACACAATGGTGAATGAATAACACATTGCCTGGTCTTGACAGTACAATATCGCCAAGATAATGGAAGGTGATAATGGAAGGGGGCCATGGAACTCGTGAGGAAGGAGATGGTACTAGGGCTTGGGGGATGAGGGATGGCTTCTTGGAGCAAGTGATACCTGAGGTGAGGACAGGTGTGAACTGAGCATGATGTCACTGGGGGTACACATATTCATTTGCAAAGGGGTAGAGGCGAAAAGAACATGATGGCAAGGGGATTTCAGGTTAAATGTAAGCAATATGTTTTCTAATATTGAGTATTAACAGAACCATTGTTACTGAAGGAAATCATGAAATCCTTGTTTTTGCTATGTTTAAAAAGTACAACAGCAAATAGAATTAATTATGGCCACAAGGAATTAATCAATAAAACTGTCACAATTCTTTAAGCTCTGCAACTCTACAATGCCAGTGGAATGGCAAGTTAATAAGATAATTAGGAAGTGTGACCACATTTGTGCCCTTTTAAGGAAAACTGGAAAAATAATAATTTCACAATCATGCATAAAGGAATTTAAAATGAATACTTAAAAAAATACAAGCTGGGAAACTAGGTTGAGCCTAAGAAGGAAGGTTCAGCTTGCTTTTATTACAGTTTTAAAGGCAAAAAAGTCACATGGCAACCAGTCGGAGTGATGTAGAACACTCATTTAACTTGTAACCTTAAGGCATGCCATTCCTTTGTTATGAAATATTTTAATAAAAAAACAAATTAAATTAGGTTTCATTCAAAACCTTTTTATACTAAAAGATTTTTTCCATGTAGTTACAACCGTTTCTAATATTTAGCGACTATATGTACGTAATAAAAGTAAGTTGTTTACCTTTATTACTACATGCTAGGAAATAGACATCTCTAAAGTAAATAGAACAAGAGAATTCCCCCTTTTGTCCTTTTGGGGAGAAAATTAATAACATATACAAAAATACTATTAAGAGAAAAGACTGGTTTCTATAAGGACAAGTACTATATTTATAGTTGGATAAAATAATACTATAAAAAATGCTGCTGAAAGTAAAATAGTAAACATATCAATCTTTAACAGTAATTATCTTTGGGTGTCAGGGCTATAGTAAGATTATTTTTTCATATATATTTGTATTTTCCATATTTTTTAGAAGCAGTTTTTGCTACTTTTAGAGCAAAAAAAAGGTGTCAAATTACAACTAGCTTCTTTAGGGAATAGCCCTGTTTCTAGTTATCATTCCTTTCCTTAGTTTTGACAAGTTCATAATTTTCTTAATTAAAAACAAAGATTTCAACTGTCAAATAAACAGATGAATTTTCCTACAGGGAAAAATAAGTTATTACAGATCAAATGGTTTGTCAGTCAGAGAATAATCCTTTGAAAATTAGGATCTGTTTCAATTCTCCAGTGCTTGGAGGTTTAATCAGAACGCTCAATCTTTAAAAACATCTAAAAACTATAGTTATCACTGGTCTGTAGCAGGGATGGAATGAAGTGAGCTTTCTTCCTCTGTTTTATCTTGATCAATAGACTTCACCTGGAAACTTGTAATGGTGAACCCTCAATGAAGAGGCAAAGTAGGAAGAGAGAAATTATATAATACTCTGCCCACAAGTACTGGTGTGTTTGGAAATTGCTGAGCTAACACCTACTAGTCGGACAGGGGCCGATGGCCCAAGCAGAAGATGAGTAAAAGCTAACAGGCACCTTTCATCAGCTGGCCTCCCCTGGAGCCTGGTGGGTAAAAGGAACCAGGCAGGTGGAAGAGTCAGGGAGAAGTATCAGGGGTGCAGAAAGGGAACTTGCATGCCTAGTGCTTTACACACTTTCATTACTGTTTACTCCTCCCAACATTGAGACCTTGCTCTACAGATAAAGTAATGGAGGCCCGTGACAGTGAGTGATATGGCCAAGTTCACACTTCCAGGACGGTGGTCGTAGAAGGACTCTAACCTAGATCGTAAGGATTCTTTCTTCTGGGGCAGAGGACTAGAAGTAGTCAATGAGCCCATACCCAAAATAATAAAAAGTAAAATTAAGTAAACATGCTACCATATCTTATAAAGCGCTCATATTTGTTCAAGATATTCACCCCTATTTCCAAATGATAAATAGGCAAAGGTTAAAGTCTTACATAAAATTCTTCCGGTGTTTCTGGAGGTTCTGGAAGTAGAGAAGCCTTTGGTGGTAATTTGAGTTCATAGGTCATTATGCTCCACCTGAAGGGAGAAAAATCTTTGGTCTAAAATTCCTTTAAAATTTAATAAACTGACTTTGTTCTCACCTCACATATATACATGTGCACATATATGCATGAACCATGGTTTATTGTATCTAAAACAACCAAATATTGGGAAAGAGATGGAATTTTGGTAATCTCATAAAACGCTGAAGCCAGTCATACTTTATGATGTCCATATCTTACCAATTCTCTGATTAGGGACTTCCAAACTTTTTAAAGGCCATGCCCCATAGTAAGAAATGCACATAAATAACAAGACTTTTCCTTCTTTACTAGTGCAATGCATTCTGATTTTTCTATTCTTTTCTGTTTCCCTTCTTAAATAATGTTCGCTGCAACTTACTAACTAGATTACACAGGTTACTAATGGATCACAACCCAAAGTTCCAAAACAATGTCCCAGATTAAACAAATGCATAGTGTCATTGAAAGATAAATCATTGTCTGTGTACCAACCAGTCTTGCCAAGTCAGCTTATACATACATGAAATGAAAATTAACTAAATATCCCTTCTTAAATTAAAAAAGTAAGCATGGGGTTGAGAAGAAAATATTAATAGAAATAATTAATTTCTTAATACTTGAAGCAAATTTATTTCAATTAGCTGTAAATATTAATTTCAAACCAAACACTGAATCACTTGGTGTTAAAGAAAAGCAATCAATTCCAGATAAATCCAGTCTTCATCCAAAATAATTTCAAAATTTGGAAAGAATAGCTGGGTAGGGACATTACCGTTGTCAGTAACAGGATGTGAAATCAAGATTTTACAAAGACACAAAGCATAATAAAAGCAGTACCGTAACACATGAATTTTAAGAAAAGCATATCACGGCTGAAGCCAGTGACAGAACCTAGGGGAAAATCCCAAGATTGGCATCAGTATTTAAACAGAGCCGAGTGTATCATTCAAACTAATAAGTCTTTGCATAAAAATCCGAATTCCCAGAAAATCTCCCCCAAAGACACAGGTTGTATGTTAGGATGCATAAACGGAATACTTATGGCTACTCTTCAACTCTTGACATGAATATACTATCAAGGAATATATATTTGGGCACAAAAAGCCATTCACCCATTCATCCATGCAAAAGACATTTATTGAACATCTTAAAATGACAGACAGCATTCCATGGTCTGGAAACACAAGGCGGATTAAGACTTTCCAAATGAAGTTTATATCCTGGTGCAGAAAACACATAAAATAATTAAACTCTGTAGATATCCAAAGAGGGAAAACCACAATGGGAAACCTGAAAGTCAAGTTCCTTAGCTGGAAATACTCCTCTGGTCAAAGGACAGTTAAAGAAATGGGAAAGAAATCCACCCAGATATTTTAAGTTTGCTGCGCCTTCCATGCTGTACCTCCTCCCTTGACAGAAAATGGCTGGAGCTGAAGAAAGAGGAGAAAGTGGCGGGACAAGTCAAGACAGGATGCATACTGGGACCAGCTAAGCAGAGTTAGAGGCCAGAAGGTTGGGCCCTCTCTGGTGCATATGTGCATTAAGGAGGACAGGGCGCACCATGTTGAGGAAAGATCTTGAGAACTAGAGTCTGGATTCCAGTTGACGGTGCCAGTTAGTTCTACCACTTACTAGCTATGTGACACTGATAATATGAAAACCTCCTGAGCCGTTTTACCTGTAAGATGGAGATTACAATATTAGTCAGCTGTAGATGTGTAGTGATGATTAAATGAGATAATACTTTATCAAGTAAAGCAACTAGAAGTACCAGGCAGATGAAAAAATATTCTTCTTTTCATTGTCTCCACAACTTTCCACAAACTCCTCAACTTTCATCTTTGTAAAATAGTCGTAATAATGTTGTTCTTAGCCACATGACAGTGTTGTTTTGAGGATCAAATCAATTGATAAAAGCAAAAAGCTTCTGTAATTCGCATAATATTAAACAGTGACTTTTTCCACCTGTTCTTTACCAACAGTATTCTTAAATTAGTAAACAAAACACAGGAACGAAATATTCTTATGTTTCTAATGGTTGTAGGTTCTTGAGCCTCTTTTGATGTTTCTCTTCTTTTGTTGTGTGCAGGTGTGTATCAAAGACTTTCACCACAGGGTCACTGTTTCTCTGCCAGCCACCTGGAGAAGTTAATTTTTCTAACATACAAAGGAAAAGCACACACCCAGGGTGGAGGAAATGTCTAGCAGCATTTCCTGGGATGCAGCGAGAATGGTGTTTAAATTTGCAGGAAAAAGCCATTTAAAACACCTTGTGTGGTTTGGTAAGCACAGAATTGGGAAATCACCTCCAGGTTCTTTTAAAGACTGGAGACGGAATCCACTTTACGTACCCAAACTATGGGGGTATCCCTCTCACGAACAGTTTTGGATAACCATAGACAAATGCTCTACAGCCCAGCTCTTTTTAAATATCCTGTCAGCAAAAGAACCAACCATTACATAACCTTATGACGGGCAAGGTTACAATTAATTAGGTTATAGCTCATTTTAGAGTAATTACATTTTAGATTGGTAGCTCCCTGATGAGATTTTGTTATTTTCGGGAACAGTTCCACAGATGGCTAATCCTATCAAAGTTGTTTTGATTCATGCTAGCTTAAGTTTATAATGATATTTTGACATTTGTCTTCTCCTTATGGTGGGGAGGGGTGGTTACTGCTTACTGAGTCCTGTTGTTCCTAAATAATCCCCAATCCTACCCACCTTCTCTGTAACACTCAGGGTACACACACTGTGATTTTTTTTTTATACACGGGGCATTTAGAGAGAAGGAAGTTGAGATGTGATCAAGGATACCATAAACACAGTAATAATTCCTTGATATGGTGTTCTTAATATTTCCCAGCCACTGGGAAAGGATTATCTTTTTTAGTATTTAGTTCTTTGTTGGTTCAATTCATTCTTAATATGCATAATTAAGAAGAGATACTCTAACAAATCTCAAGATTATACGTCTTCCTTAGCTTTAATGAAGCCACAGGACGATGGGGCCATACCCATTATAGCCATCGAAAGCCCCCACACAAAATGAACTGCTTAAGCTTTCTGACCTGAACAACAATGAAAAGTAATTGCTCTACCAGCATAGCATTCTATTTTTAAAATAGTGGGTTCATCAGATTACTTTTCTCAGTTTTTGTTACAATTCATTCATTCACCCCAAAAATGTATTTACTGAGTGTCTCCCCTATGCTGGGCTCTGTCTAGACCTCAGGCGTGACAAGGGTGGGTAAGACCAGGAAATCTCTGTCCTCATTGGGCTTACAGTTCGTAAAATTTCAACTGCCAAAAATGTCAGTACGCCATTTTCAGTCTAGTGTTAGAAGAAAATTCACTTTTACCTGTCTAGCATTTTGGTACTGGCTCGTTCCAGCTTCTCTAGTATCTGAGGAAGTTGGGTGTCATCATCATAGGAACCGCCCCAGCCTAGAACCCGGGCAAGGTCATTTCCTGTACCCAAAGGCAATACGCCCAGCTGACACTGAAAGAGAGCACAACAGGGAGACCTCAGGCAAGCTGAGAAACCGGAGCTATGATACTTCTGTGCTCTGCTGGTCAGGTTAGTACACATTCATGTCAACGAGTCATGAAAAGATTTAGTACTTGCCTGTTTATTCAAGTTGAGCTTATCGATTTCTGACAAAACCCAACCCACACTTCCATCTCCTCCACAAACAAGAATTCGGAAGTTGTCGAACTTTTGGAATAATCTTAAACTGAAAGCAAAAAGTATTTTATTTTAATATAAATAAATAAAAATCACTTTCCCCAATTCTTTGTTATTCTGTAAAAATTGGTATGCATGTTCAGAGCAAATATAAGAACCCTTACTTACATATTAATTATACTATAAAAATTGAAGTGCAATTTTTAACTCAAGAAAATGTCTTAATCATAAAGAGGAAAGGGGATTATAAGTAGAAATGGAGATAAAATGAGGAGGGAAGGGGAGTGAGAAATGAGAAAACAAAGAAGCAGAACCCAGGAAAGAGAATGAAAGGTAAGTGATAAAACATGGTAAAAGTAGTGATTTTTTTCTTCCCATTACAAGGATATGTTATTTCCTTAAGAATAGCATATTACAAACCAGGGGTGGAGAATCTAGGGCACTGATATTATTGACACTCAAGCCAGTTCCTAAAGGGACCCACCAAACCTTGCCGACATATCACTTTTCGGACACCCACCTTGCTTTTTCTCCCCGTCATCCCCTAGTCTGGATTAGTCTTTTTACCTCTGTCTTCCTTCGTCTTAACTTTGGACACATCCCGCCACCTCCTGAATGTACCTTTGTGCACCTCGAGTATTGTGGAAACCCTATAAAATATGTTATAGAGACAATCTCAAGAAGTTTCACAAAGGGCCTGCCTTGGGATCATAAAGGACGGGTGGGAAAAGTAAATGTAAAGAATACAAGATATAGGAACTATGAAGGATTATGAAACAGATGTGCTAGAAAGGGAGACACAGCTGACCAGCAGTGCAAGAGACACAGGTGAGTGGAGAGGCCAGGTGAGGAAATGCCAGGACCCAAACAGGGGGAAGGCATGAACAAGGAGCCATAGGGGGCGTTGAGAAAGGATGAAGAAGACCAACATCCATGGAACCAGAGGGCCTGAGACTTGGCAAGAAGGCAATAGAAACAAGAAGAAAGAAACCTAAAGAGCAAAAGTGAACAGAGGCACAAAGTGAGGCAAGCGAGAGAAAAGGCGGGAAGGTGTTAAATTAAAAAGCCAGGGCCTCTTTGGGGTATCTAAAATCCCCATTTTTACATCTGTGTTCACGCTTTAAGGTGACCATGGAACCCAAGAGAAAAGTGGAGTTGGCAGAAGTAGATCATGAAGAGGTTGCAGGAACCCGGGTTCAGGTAATCCAATATCACCTCTTCAACAAAGTCATATATACACACTAAAAATGTATTAAAAGTACCTCAAGGCATTTTTTCCCGCACTGAAAATCGTTTAACTTTTTTCAGATTGTAAGTTAGAGGACATTCCAGAAAGCTGAAAAGAACAATCAACACCAGTGTTTTTTGTCATTCATATAGGAATTGAGTCTCAAATCCTTGAGGAGCTGTCCTTGAAACCCACAGTAGTGTCTATGCTTTGGTTAAATAATTGATTATTTGTATTACATAAAAATCAATGCTAGCCTTCCATGCAGATCATTTTCTAAAGTTACTGGGTATTTCTGTATTTACCCAAGTTGATTTTTCTTAGAGCTAAGCAAACCATTAGTATTGTCTGATGCAGAATATATTCTAAAACATTTTCTCAACAAATTTTGGGATTTTCAGCACATAAGGAAGTTATATAAATATCAAAAGGTGAAGTTAAAATTTAGAATTAGAGCTTTAGAAAAAGAAAGAGTGGGAAGATCAATACAGAGATGTCTAGATGGATCGACAGTCTTCACAAACTGAAAAATCAAACATATTTCATGCTTAGTACTATTTCATTCTAATGAGATTTATCAGTAATTAATTACCCTAAATGAGGACCTCCGTTCATTAAATCAAACACCTGAGCCGGATTTAGCAACTGTTTAAATCGACGAAGGAACTTTACTCCCTGATTATCTCCACTCTTAGAATTGACAAAAACCAACAGAGGACTAACACAGAATGAAAAGGTCGCTCTACAGAAACCTGTAAAAAAACACAGTACAGGATCAATATGAACAGCTGTCTCTTTTAAACTATTGATAAAACTTCAGAGAAAAGAACATAAATTCACAAAGAACCTTGCTTATTACTTGAACAATAAATTATAATTTAGCCCCCCAAATGGAGATAGGTTTTATTTACATACTAAAACTATAGAACTTATCTTTTAAAATATGCTCTACAATGAAAAATCCTACTAAAGATGGCAAAAGTATTAATCATAGATAATTGAAGATACACCACCTACCTTAACAACACCAATGACGTCTATAAATTCACATTTGTCAAAGAACTCATGTTCATATTCAGTATTATAAAATGTTTTAACTTCTCCTTCATGAGGCTTTAGAAAATACTTTAAAATTTATCATAAATAATAGAACCTTGATTTATCGGGGATTGGGGGCAGGGCTGTTAACAGCACAGGTTAAAAAATCACATCTTTTGCAGCCTATATCCTTGTATTTATAATATCTATTGGCATAATTTACATAAAAAGTTTGAAAATCATAAAGCACTTTATGCAAAACTTTAATAACAGTATATGGTAAAAGCCTTTTGTAATTTGGTTTGCTTAGAAGGAAGACAAGTTCTTTAGCACTTAGAACCAAGTTGTAAGAGTCTCGAAAAAGTGATGGAATTTATAGGAATATAAGTTCCTCCAAGGAAATTATAGGAAAACATTTCAATAAAAGCCATGCTGATAGGCAATTTCAATTATAGAGGGGGAAAAAAAGCACATAAAAATTAACCTTTTTGGATTGCGTTTTGTTACAGAATAATGATCTTATTTTGTTTGCTGAAATGTAAAATCTGTAAGTCTTATATGTAGTAATTTCACCAGTGTATTAATAGCTATGGTAAGTTTTAATTCTAAAATGTTCTTTTAAAAGTTAAATGTACTGTTCAGCAATTTGAATGGACTTAAATAAAAGCTGACCAGAATAACCGATTACAGTTCAATTTATTCTAGGAAAGTAAATGTACAAATCAACATTTAATATACCAGGAATATACATATTTACACTACTGATACATACCATCAGAATCAGTGCTATTCAGTGCAATTGGAGGTATGATGGACACTTTACATTGGCCAAGGGGACACACAGGATGGTATAAATCTTTGCAGGCAGTGTGTACCTAATAACAAACAAATAAACCTTCAAGAATCATAAAAACACACCAATGTTTTATTATGGCATAAATTACATCTAAGGAACTGATCATTGAGGATCAACTATATCACAAAATATTCAGTAATTCATAAATTACTTTCATGGCACAATATTTACAATGCTAAAGAATGGGTTAATTATTTTCGAGATGGGAATTTGAGTTGGTCTGTGCAGCCTACTTTTATGATTGTCTCAGGCAAGTAGTGTATATCAAGGAATGCCTTCTGAGTGGAATCTGGTGGGCTCAGTCGGTAGAACATGAGACTCTTCATCTTGGGGTTGGAAGTTCAAGACCTACACTGGGTGTAGATATTACTTAAAAAAAAAAAAAAGAAATGCCTAGTGAAGACAAGGAGGGAAGAAGGGAAGAGACCAGAGTGCAGAGGAAGAGAGGGCAAAGAGGAAGGCAGGAATGAATGGAAGGAGGGAGGGAGAGGAAGAGAAAGGAGGGAAGCTAACTAGTCCTTACCAATATCATCGCCCATAAAAAAACTGATGACCTCTCCCTTATAACATTCTCAGAGAATTTAATGAAAATAAAATTTGTAATGTGTCTGCTCTTTCTGCAGTGGTCCTATAACTTTCTATTCACACCTTTTTTTTATATATAACATTTTCATGTTACCATAGGTACAAATACATGCGTGCCTATTTTCTCAGCTAGACTTCTGGCTCTGTAAAGAAAAGGAAAAGCTCCTATTACTGCCTAAGTGATATATATCATAGGCACTCAGCAAAGGTGTGAACTGCATAGAAACAAAAAGTTTCAAGGTCAGTCAAGATACTATTGTGAACAAGAGCAGGGCTAACTTGTTACATAGAATCCAGGGAATTTACAATACTTTAGGTACTTACCTAAAGAGCCTTGAAATGTTTTAAGCAGTAAAAGCAGACATTTCATAAAGAACTTATTTAATATGGCTTTATTTCATGAGTCCTTTTAGAAAACTGGCATATTAATTAAACACCTATTTATCAAAACTTTTGAGAAAATAACTGAAATTAAATAGTGATTCTTGTTTGCTGGTGACCTAATTTTGGATAGTTCTCTATAGTCATTTATAATAATTAACATCCTAAATAGATTTCAAAAAATAAAACAAAAACCCACAAGCATGCCCAGATAGTTTTAAAAGGAATTTTAGAAAGGTATAAGAATTACAGAGCAAAACAGAAAAATATTTATATCAGTGTTGAATGAAAAAAAGCAGAAGATAAATTGTATCTTCACTATTTTTTACAAAAAAGGCAAAACTGTATCCAGAGACTGGACAACAACTGGAAAAATGGACTCATTAGAGTTGTGGAACTATGGTCTTACTTTATTCTGTTTCAACTACATGACTGTTTTACAAACTAGATATTCTGTCAGAAACTCATTATTTTAAAGACAAAATAATATGTAAAGAGGTAAGTGATAGTGTATCGGAAGTGCAAGAACAAGAGAGAGGTGACAAGGTGTTGGTGGCCCGCAAACCTGAACGTCCAACGGACATAGTGTAGGGCAGGAACAACTTCATGATAAGGTGATATCTAAGTTTGCCAGAAAAAAGAGGGAGAAGACATTCCAGAATGCCCCCTTCCACATCCTGTATTCATCTTTCTATACCGTTCATGAAATTTTTAAAAGGTGGGAGAGAGTAGAGTGAGCAAGTAAATATCTAATGAACTACTGTGAACGTTAGCAAAGCAAAAAACGACTGAGCAAATACAAGTAAAGACCTATATACTGCGGGTAGAGACAACTTCTATAAAACCTTTCTAATGTAAATGATCACACACATAGTCTGCTTTCTTTCTTTCTAAAGTAACTGATCACACACATAATCTGCTTTCTTTCTAAAGTAACTGATCACACACATAATCTGCTTTCTTTCTTTCTAAAGTAACTGATCACACACATAATCTGCTTTCTTTCTAAAAAGTTAGAAGAGAACAGCTGAAGTTCTAGAGGTAGAGAAACCGATGTACGTGTAGACTAATGAAATTAGCAGTAGACGCACACATCAGTGGATGCCCCCCCAAAAAGAAATCTTAGGTGGGATGAAGTTTTAAAATGTTGTTTATGGGAGCACTTTCCTTCCTTATTTATTTATAACATTTTTATCTTATAGGCCTTTTGGGAGCACTCTTAAAATAAGGAATGCCAGGAGGCCACCTGGGTGGCTCAGTTGGTTGACTCTTAATTTCAGCTCAGGTCATGATCGCGAGAGTCCAGAAATCGAGCCCCATGTCAGGATCTGCGCTCAGCGGGGAGTCTGCTTGAGCCTCTCTCTCTCTCTTCCTCTCCCTCTGCCCCTCCCCCAAATCACGCACACACTCTCTCTCTAAATAAATAAATAAAATCTTTAAAAATAAATAAATAAAATAAAATAAAGAATGCTGGGACACCTGGCTGGCTCTGTCGGGAAAGCGTGTGACTCTTGATCTTGGGGTTGTGTCCTAAGAGGGTTTTAGGGGTTACAGTTTCACCAAAACTCCAAAGACGTATCTAATACAGTCTATGTATTATATTATAGGGCATCAGAGAAATTAGAAGTAACGCCTATGGCTGATAAAAGGGGCAACTGACGAAGAATAACAAAAGCATGAGGTTAAAGAGAATCACATTTGATTTAAAAATAAGAAGGAGAGCGCCTGGAGGGCTCCTTAACCAGTCGGTAAGCGTCTGCCATGACGCTTGTCCCAGGGCCCTGGGATCGAGGCTCCGCGGGAGGCCTGCTTCTCCCTCTCCCACTCCCCCCTGCTGTGTTCCCTCTCTCGCTCTCTGTGTCTCTCCCTGCCAAATAAATAAATAAAATCTTTAAAGAAAAATACGAAGGAAACAGATTACCTATCAGGCCCAACTAAAAAACTGCAGGCCTTACTGTTTCCAGTGGAAAAAATGGAATTAATCTCACCAATTATGAAATCAAAACAGCATACTCACATCATTTCCATTTGATGATCTGCATCATACTTACTGAAAGAAATGAGTTTTCCACCTTTTTTGGGGGGTGAGGAGTGACTTCCAAGATGCAACACAAGACCAAACAAATCAGCCCAAGGCAAGGCGATTGCTGTCACTGTTGGATGGCATCGCCCACTGCTGAGGTGAGTACCCACAGCTGTTGCCTACCCCCCTCCAGTACGGTGAGCACCGTGCCACCTTCTGAGTGGCCTGAGTTCACCCTCGGAGTTCCTGCTCTGACTGCCCTCATGAAGCCTCGGGCCCGGTGCTCACGCAGTCTGGCACGGACAGGACCATCCCTTGCCATCGGCTCTATGTCATGCTATGCGTACCTCTCATTGCTTTCTTACATGTGCGAGAAAGTTTTAAAATATTTATCTATATAATATAAATGTATCTAATTTCAATTATACCAGTGCGTGGCTGACTGAACATGGCGTTCTGTCAGAGAATGTGCGAAGCGTTGTACTAAAATTATACTTCACACGTCAATCAAAATTTGGTGGCTTTCTGGGTTTAATAGGTGGTAAAACAGGGCTGAAAACAGTAAACCATTGAATGTGGTTACAGCATAATGAAAAACAACAACAGGGCATTACAAAAAGGATATTTAAAAAGTAACAAGACTGGAAGGAATACACTTTGAAAAAGATGAATGTTGCAATGGGTACGTATGCTACCCTGCTCTGTCAGACCCTAAATTCTTTGCCCCTAGATTACGTAGATTAAAACAAACATGTGAAAAGAATTAGAAAGGACTCTCACCATTGTTTTACACCAAAGGCATTTCCAATCTTGTAGGCGCAGGACACTCCCACATGTTCTGTCACACACGGCGCATTTGGCACTGACAGGCAGGTTACCCTCGAGCCATTGGTGGGGCATAGCTACCTACGCAGCCAGAATAAAGAGCAGGCAAATTGAAGAGTGGAGGACGCCATTCTTACCCTGGGGAAGAGCTACCATTAGGTCTCACTCTATGGAATCAAGAGATGTATCTAGCACTCATGGCATCCATTTGGTTAGTCCACATTTATTGACCATCTATTGTGCTCTGAGCACCGCAGGGATACAAAAATAAGTAAGACTAAATCCCTGACCTTCAGGATGTGTAGTCTAATTGAGGAGCAATGAAGGCAAAGGCATTAACATAAAGTGATTACAAAGTGCTATCAGAGATGCGTATGCAAGGTGCAATGGAGACAAGGTTTTGAAGGTGGGGGGACACTGTTGAAAGGAGGCCCCACCGTCTAAGGAGTGAACATCTGAATAGACACCCGAGCTAAGCCTTAAAGAGTATCTTACTTGTCAGGTAAGGGTCTCCAACACCAGCCCAGCACAGCAACCATTGCTAAGCCCTATTCACATTTCCCTCAAAATTTAAGAGCTAAAGGAAACTATGAAGGCTCTAACTAGAAAGAGAAACTCATAATTAACCAAAGCCTTCCATTTAATCCTACTAGTAAATACTCCCACTTAACTCTGTCTTTTTCCACAGGGCAAACAATAAAAGGGAGGTGGTACTGGGAAGAAACCAAAGACAGAACTGAGCTTACTCCATCTTCATCCTCTATGATGTCCTTCCCGATGGAGGCCAGAGTCGTCCATTTGCAATTATTTGTTGCCCTCACTGCACATCTTTTGTGAGCCTTGAATTTACACACTAAAAAAAAAAAAAAAGTCAATCATTTCCAAATGAATATGTACTTTTGGAACAATGATTAGAGGAAATCACAGCATGAAATTACAAGGGGGGTAGAAGAAAAACAGTAACTTAAAAAGTTTAAATTACTCTTCAACAATAATAAAGGTATTCTGAAAATACCTTTTCAGAAGATATTCATGTATTTATGTTACATGTGGCTATGTATATATGAAACACTTTTATCAATCTATAGATTGCTACCTAGATTCCACTCACTCACAAATAAAACAGAAAGGAAATAAATACAAAAGAACTAGTTCTTTAGGAGAAAGGAGAAAACACACACACACAAACACAGAACTAAATAAAATTCAGTAATAGAGAGCTGCTGGGAACATCCTATTTCTTAATCTGGGCGTTGATTACATAAATGTTAAATTTGTGAAAAATCCCACGAGTTGTACTCCTCTGATATTTGTATTTTTCTGTACATATAATATATTTAAAATAAAAAGTTTGAAAATATCAGTAAGATAAAGAACAGGATAATCTGGAAGTGTTTTAAAATGCAACTATGTCCAGAAAATATCCAGTCGTGGGAAATAGGTAGATAAAGGTCACAAATGGCACTGTTTTTTAAAAGTATTACTGTTGGGATCACTACATTTTAATGTAGAAGAAAATAATAATGAAGAAGTACATTACATCCATCACTAATCCTGCCCAGCCACATTATCAAAAATGAGCCTCTGAAAGAGACATAAGAGACACTGAAACTTATAAGACATTAAGGAAAAAAAATTGAAGATACAAATAAATGGCAAAAATATCTCATGCTCATGAATTGGAAGAATTAATATTGTGAAAATGTCCAGAGTACCCAAAACAATATACAGATTCAGTGCAATCCCTGTCAAAATTCCAATGGCATTTTTCAATGAACTAAAACAAATAATTCTAAAATTTTTATGGAACCACAAAAGACTCTGAATAGCCAAGGCAGTCTTGAGAAAGAAGAACAAAGTGGAAGGTATCATACTCCATGGTTTGAAACTATATTACAAAGCTATAGTAATCAAAAGAGTATGGTACTGGCATAAAAACCAGACACATAGATCAATGGAACAGAAGAGAGAGCCCAGAAATAAATCCACACATATATGGCCAACTAATTTATGACAAAGGGGCCAAGAACAAAGAATGAAGAAAGAACAGTCTCTTCAGTAGGTGGTGCTGGGAAAATTGGACAGTTATGTGCAAAAAGATAAAACTGGACCACTACCTTACACCATACATAAGAGTTAACTCAAAAGGGATTAAATACTTGAACGTAAGACCTGAAACCATAAAACTCGTAGAAGAAAACTCCCTGACAGCTAGCTCCTTGACATTAGTCTTGGCAATGATTTTTTTGGGTCTGACACCAAAAGCAAAGGCAACTAAACAAAAATAAACAAACAGGACTACATTGAATTAAAAAGTTATGACACAGCAAAGGACGCCATCAACAAACTGAATGGGAGAAGATATTTGCAAATCATATATCTGATAAGGGGTTAACACTCAAATTTTACAAAGAACTCATATAAGTCAATGGCAAAAACCAAGCAATCCACTTAAAAGATGGGCAGTGGACCTGAATAGACATTTTTCTAAATAAGACATACAGATGGCCAACAGACACATGACAAGATACTCAACATCACTAACCATCAGGGAAATGCAAATCAAAACCACAATGAGATAGCTCCTTACACCTGTTAGGATGGCTATTAGCTAAAAGACAAGAAATTACAAGTGTTGGCAAGAATTTGAAGAAAAGGGAACCCGTGTGCACTCTTGGTGAGAATGCAAATTGGTGCAGCCACTCTGGAAAACGGTATCGAGTATCCTCAAGAAATTAAAAATAGAACTATCATATGAGCCAGCAATTCCACTTCTGGGTATTAATCCAAAGAAAATGAAATCACTAATTTGAAAAGATATTTGTACCCTCATTTTCATTATAGCATTATCCGTAATATCCAAGATATAGAAACAATCTAAGTGTTCCTCAATGGTAAACGGATAAAGAAAATGTGGTGTCCATATGTATATCTACACAATGGACTATTATTCAGCCATATAAATGAATCACTTGAGACAACATGAATGGACCTAGAGGATATTTTGTTAAATTGAAATAAGTCAGAGAAAGACAGATACCTTATGATCTGACTTATATGTGGCCTGTAAAAACAACAACAAACCCACAAAAAAACCCAGCTCATAGAAACAGAGAACACATTGGTGGTTGCCAGAGGCAGGGGGAAGGAGGTGGGCCAAATGGGAGAAGGGAGTCCAGAGGTCCAAACTTCTGGTTATAAAATAAGTCATGGGGATGTAATGCACAGCATAGTGAGTATAGTTAATTACACTGTACTGAATATTTGAAAGTTGTTATGAGAGTAAATATTAAAAGTTCTCATCAAAGGAAAAATATCTGTAACTACAGATTGATGACAGACGTTCATTAGACCTATTTGGGTAATCATTTTACAATATATACAAATATCAAATCAAAAACACAAGAGAGAGGGAGCAATAAGAGGAAACAACCAGGAAAGAAGCAGCTCATATATGAAAAACAAGTAAACCACAGATTTTTTGAGAAACGAACTCTTACTTATGAAAATCAGAACTTGACTACTGCTAAACTTCTTTATCCTTTTAAGGATACAAATTATCCAAGCATTGGTGGATAAAGATGTTATACCAGTTTCTGACTTTTCAGATAAATACTGAAAAGTAGAGATCACTTCAGTGGAAATACAAGAAGGTAACTGCTCCTAAATCTTACATGTAAGGTGACTCCTTTTCACATGATTTTTGCATTTCTAACTGTAAACCGTTAACAGGTTTGAAATGATGGGTTGCATGCCATTGTTTTAAAAAGTCCTAATTTGGGGTGCCTGGGTGGCTCAGTCGTTAAGCGTCTGCCTTCAGCTCAGGTCATGATCCCAGGGTCCTGGGATCGAATCCCGCATCGGGATCCCGGCTCGGCGGGAAGCCTGCTTCTCCCTCTCCCACTCCCGCTGCTTGTATTCCTGCTCTCGCTATGTCTCTATTTCTTAAATAAATAAATAAAATCTTTAAAAAGTCCTAATTTAACATAGCATGCAAATGAAAGGGTCGGGTGAAATCACTGAGTGTCTATAGCTAAATATTCAAAATGCTTCAGGATGTCACGGAGAGCCGATATGCAAAAGGTCACTTAAGCTGAGTAGTTTTTCCTTGAAAAATGTTAGTCTAGACATTGGAAAATTTTCATTTAACTGGTCTTTTGTGTACACTGACAAATTCTTTTGGAAATCCTACTATTTTTGTTATAAATGACTTTGGGACTCGAGCACAGACTTCATAGAGAATAAACCGGTTTTTCAATGGACTCTCATTACTGATAGACAAATGTATAAAGAGCAAGCACCGTAGAAAGTAAGCTTAGTCTGAAAAACAATTTTAGCATGACCTGCTCCCTTTTGCTCCCATACAAGTGACTATTTTAAAATTGAGGTTAGTTAGTAACTCTAGGTTTTTCATCTCTTATGGTATTTCTCAAAAGTGTGGTCCTAGTTTTAGTTTTATCGGCAACGTAATTCCCAGGCTGCTTTTTAAGTACAAGGAAGTATTTGAATTAACAGTCAATATCTGTTTTTTAAGGGGCAAAGGAGGAAGTAAAAGAGAGCAACAGGGAATGATTTCATGGCTTTTTGAAATTTTGCCATTAAAAATCAAACAGCTCATTAAAAATAAAAATCATACTTGTAATAATAAAGTGTTTCATGCAATGAGTCTTGAAAATTACGAAGTTGCTTAATGTAGCATACAATAATAATAAAATAAACCAAACTGTGATTACAGTCACTAAGGAATGGAAATGATTAATAGGCGCCTTAATTTTGTTAGGCGACAATTAGATTTCTCGAAATAAGTTATTCTGAAATAAAGCACTTTTCCCTGACCTATAAAGCCATTATTTTAAAACCCAGAACTTAAAAAAAAAATATACTGACATGTAACAAAGTTATTTTTAATTGCAATTTTCAGTCCACCACATTGAATCTTTGTAAGTATTCAACAGTGGCTAAGAGAAAAATTCATAGGTACCTAGGTTAACATATTTGATGCTGTTGATTAAAAAAGAAAAAATCACCATTTAACTTTTTTTGTTCAGTTACTGTTTAAATAACTGTGAAGAACAATTATGCTCTGAAATTATAATTAACATTCTTAGGGAATTATTTATGAAAAGTATTTTCCGTCTCCTATTTTTCATTCATATATTTTACATATGCAAGGCTTTAAAATAACAATTTTAGTAGTTATTCAACACAAGCCCGGAAGCCAAATCAGTACAGGCTTGTTGGAAGGGCAGAAAGATTAAGTAAATTTAGTGATGGCTTCACACATTGGAAACTGAATTCCATTCCAATACAAAGTTATTCATTGTCACTGTTGGAACGAATTTTTCTTGTATTTGCATCTCTGTTATATCTTCTAAAGCCTCTTTATCCTATGTCTTTTGCTTTTAACAAGCAAGCAGTTTATTCAGATTTGGGGGGAGTTTCTAAAGTTTAAGTATAACTTGGATTACAAGAAAATGATCCTAAATAACCACATTCTCATAAAGTAAAAAGGTAGCTTCATTACACATTCATAAAACCCTTGGGATTTTTAAAACCTTCTGCTACAGTGCTAACAATACCAATGGGCAAGACACCACAGATTTAAAATTTTTATCAGCAGAGAAAATGAGTAACAGCATATATTCTTCTAAAACTCTAATTTAAAAATACAATAACTGAGACATTAAAAAGTCAGGAAGAGTTCATTATTAACAGAATAATAACAAAGTTATTTAAAGACTTTAAGTTTCTTATTCTCATCGGCTAATGCGATTTTCATTTTTCTTCTAAAAGGTTAGGAAAAATACTTAGTCGTCCCAGTTTAAACTCAAGACACAAACAACTAAATATATTTAATAATGCATAACTCTTAAATCAGAAGAGTACCACAGAGTATCTCAGATCTGATATTTTTTTAAGCACTTTTGGAAGGAGAGACTAGGAGGCAGCTAAAAAGACCTTCAAAATAACATCTCAGAGTATTACACACTTGGCAAGAGTAACTCAGAGCTTCAGGAACCCCTGTAGATTACTAAAGTCATAAAGAGCAATTACACCTTGTTTGCAACCACTCTTAAAATCTATTAAAAAAAAAATGTGTAATGCCTCTTCCAAATGTTCGTTTTCATGAATTTTAATGCCTCGGGCAATGATGCAATCTGCAATTATTTACTTGATGGATTTCTTACAGGGCACAGTTACAAACTTCCACAATTTCTTTGACTAGAAAAGTAGTTTCCTTGTATATATTCTCCCATTTCATTTTCATAGCGTCTGTGGGATATAAATGACTATTATCCCCATTTTGCCGATGAGGAAACAAGTCGAAAAGAGTGGAGCTACTTCTTCTCCTGGTCACCGTTTGTAATGCTGGGAGTGGGACCAGAACCTGGAGGGTGACACTGAGGAGCTCTGTTCTTCACCTCTGTGCTCTATCGTGCTAAATCACTGAAATTATGATATATCTCAGATTTGATACCTTAAAATGAATGAAAACTGGGGCTCTATCACTAGTTTATTATTGAAGTGTTATAAAGTTATATTCAAAATTAAGATTCTTTTGTATTAAGAGAAAAAAGCTAGTATTGGTATGAGCTCTAGTTCAGTAGTGTGGTCATGGAGGTATGGAATTAAATAAATCTGAAGACGTTATGAGTTTCCCTTTGGTAATTACTAGTATATTTGCTTCTACTGGTCACTGCTTTTTTATTTAAAAAAAAACCCCACAAATCCTATAATGAAAACAACAGCCTTCGGCTTATTTTTAGAAAACTTTAAAGAATTAAAAAGGATGGTATCCATTTAAATTAAACATAAAGTGAAGTAAAAGAAAACATTTAAAATAATTAAATAGAAATAACAAACGGAAATTCTGTCAAAGAGCCTGTACTGTCCTCACCGAAAGTTTTAATCAGTCAGAACAGAAAAAGAAGACTAGAAAACCAGAAAGACTGATAAAGTCTAAAGATGTTTTTTAAGCAGTAGGTGCTAGTTCCTCAAGAGTGAAATGCTACGTCTTGATTTATACTTTCCTCCCAATGATTTGTATCATCCTTCCCTCAGCAAAAATATTTCCCAAGTTAGTCCCATGTGTGCAGACCTCCACTCGAAGCTACAGTAAAACGGAAACGCTATGTTCCCACTAAGGTGCTCCCACCTCCTGCTTCCACCCGTGCTGATGTTTCCCTGTTCGGATGGCAGCGTGATCCCAGTGTGGTCAGTGCTGAGGGAGAATGCGGGCCAGGGGTACTTACCTTCACAGGACAGGCCATGGGAGGTGACTCCAGAAAGACTCTCTCTGCACACGTTACAGAAAGTGGGTCGTGCATGGGAGCAGGCGTACCAGTTATGCATCCCTGAGAAATGTTCCACGTTAAACTGGGCCACCTAGAAACGAGACGTTAGCACAGATTTGCCAAGCAAGAGAACAAGACAACAGATAGTGAACCTCTGGGATGCATTTAGTTAGGATTAAAATTTCAAATCCGTAATTTTTAAAATGAAAACAGGTTAAGTAAAAAAAAAAAAGTCAATATCAGTTGGAAGCAAGTTGCTTAATGAATCTACACATACTTTTCTTTGCAGAATAGAGCTTTAGCTCTTCGGATGACATTCCTTCTCTAGGAACAGGAGGCACCGGAAGAAGATGCTACTTTACCTCGTAAGGTTCTCTGGTCTGTACAGACTTCAGTGAGCTCATCCAATCCTCCATCTCCTTCCTGTTCTCAGCACACAGCATTAGTCTTCTGAATGGAGTGATTATCTGAAAGGGGTAATTCAATCTAATGATTGTTAATAACCAACAAGACAGATTATTGCCAAACCCAGCAATCAATCGTAAAAGGAAATTCCATTTCTAATCTCGGAGTCCTTATTTCCTTGATGAGGACAGTAAGAGTCTCTGTAATGTAAATGAGTTTAGTTCTCTGAGTATGATACAAGGGGGTCTAGGAAAGAAAAATTCTAAGGAGGCGTTTCTTGTCTTTAATCTCATTGCTCCTTACTTAGGCTTTTTTTAGCCCAGTACCAAAGGCTATGAACCCAAATAAACAATGTACTCCTATTTCATGGAACGTATCTTGAAAATTGATTTTAAATATACTTCAGAATAATTCATAGTAAGCTTAGAATTCATGCACAGTTTTCAATGTGGAAATTTTAAAAATTGAAAACCAAAGGAATGCAATATTGAATGACTCATAATCCGTTCATGATAATATCACAAATATTCTGTTATTAAATAATGTTGAATTTACATAACCTTTCCATTGTCTATTTTAATATGATTTAAATATGAAGGATATTTTTCTCATTGTATACAACTACTACTACTTTTTAGTGAGAGCAGGGCAGAAGAATTAACATAAAAGTCCTTCAGTTGGCTTTAAGGGAAGAAAATAATTGTGACTTTTATCTTTTCATCATGTCACTAAAGAATGCAAATTAATTGTATTAAGAGACTTATGGCAAGTGAAATGAAGACTGTGCTGTTACAGCACCAAAAGTACTTCAAAGTGAGATTCTGAAATGACTTGAAAGAAGCCCCTATTTTTATGTGTGAATACAGCATTCTCATTGTAATCTTGAACTGCAAAGAAGGGGCCTTTTATTTACTTGTGTAAGAAGAATGAACTTTACACACATACCTCGAAACTACCTCTAAATAATAAGTCATATACTTACTTACATAGCCAATAAGAAATTTTCTCAAGTTAGAAGCCATTTGATCAAGTGATAATCTACATATTGCATTATGGAGCAGATTTCTGAAGTCATGAAAAAGCAATAATCATCTAAAAACAAAAGAAGCCCTTCCCCTAATGAGTAAACCTGCAAGCCTCAATCACTACTGTCCATCTTAGGAAATAACCCCATTATTCAAAACTACAGAGATCAGCCCAATCTTAGCTACTCACCGCTCATTGCCTCCTTTTGTCTTTAGTTTAGACCGCACAATCCTTCCTTAAACCCAGGGTCCTTTCAGGCATCCGACAGGCACTCACACTTAAATACAGCCAGCCAGAAGTCACATGGAGGAGGAGCACCAACCGCTCAGCTTTGGGCATTTGTTAATTGCATATGAAATTGAACAGAACCTCACTTCTGCATTTTTTTCTGTTTTCCACCACCCTCTTTGGATAAAGCTTATTAGCAGTTGGTCACTTCTCTTCCTGAATAAATAGTTAATGAAAGAGCACTGCCTCCCTCATTACTTAGGAGCCAAATGGATGCTTTATCACTTCAAAATGTTTTTCTAGGACAGCTCATCAAGTGCAGAAGAAAAGATACCATTAAATCATAATACTCCCCTGGCTCTGACGACCGGCCTGGCACTCCAGAAACCTCCCAGTTTCACTGGACTGACTGAATAAATCTGATATTTATTTGAATAAATATCACTGCTAGCATTTCTTTTATTTATTTATTTATTTGCTATACTATGTGATGATAATGACAATGAGCTGCTCCTTAGAAGATACTGGAAAAATATCAACAAACAGATGAGGAAAAAAACTGCCCCCCCCCTTAACTGCACTGCATCTCATCTCACCCACAGCAGGAATATAAGATGGCAAAAGTGAAGGGCATCAGACCCCTGTACAATACTGAAAGAGTTTGGCACGCCATCTCTAGTACGGTACCACGCTTAAACTATTCCAACAGAGAGTTTCTTCCTTCAACTCAGATTTTTGATTCTGCAATGAAGGAAACTCTGAAAACTTCTGTGGTAATTTTAAATGTTCAACAACTTTTTCCATTAGGAAATTCTTATTTCTAATCTAAAGTTCTTTACAACAAACTGATCATATTTGCCCTATTGCAGTCCTTCTTTTTTTAAACTATATACATTTTACTTTACTTTCTTACTTTTTAAGACCAGCTTTATTGAAATATAATTCACAATACCATGCAATTCATCTGCTTAAATGGTACAATTCGATGGTTCTTAGTGTATTTACAGCACTATAGAACCATCACCATCATCTATTTTAGAACGTTTTCACAACCCCAAAAAGGAACTAACTCCCCATTTTCCTCCAAAGTTGGCCCCCACCCCCAGCCCTAGGCAACAACGTCTTAAGTGACTCATATGAGAGTAGAGATACTTACTCCTATATTTCAAACTGTAACCTGGGAACCTCTACATCCAAGAGCATGGGTCCTCAACTACGAGTGTGCACCTGAATCAAACCAAGAGTTTTTCCAAAATATAGCCAACCATGCTCCAAACCACACTTGGTGTATCGAAATCTTATTTTGGAGGGAGGCATGGATAATTTCAGATGTAATCCGTAGTTTGGCAAAGCTATACAGGTGATTCTGATGCACATCTCTGTTTATCAGCCATGAAGGGTAGCACAAGCAACCAACTTTGCCATTAGTCAAGTCAGGACTTGGTCTAAGGAATGTAAAGAAAGTACTCTTAATCTTTACGGCTCCTTATCTCCCTTTTCAGCACTTTTCTGCTCCCAAATTTCCAGTGTTCTCATCTGTTCCTAACAGTATTCCTTTATATGGGATCCATCGGAAAGAGCCTACCACCTACAGCACGCTTGTGATATAACTGAGGTCCCAAAATGATGATCTCTGATGTTTTCGTTTGGCCATTCTGTTTGAACCCTGCAGTGCTGTGTTGTAAAACCACAACAATGACAAGAAGTTAAAATCCATCATTTTGGACACGTACTTTGCTCTTCAGGGTACAAGCAGCTTAAACTTATTTTCTTCAGCTCACCACTTCATACACTTATGTTACCAAGTGGCCCCTGGAGGCATTTGAGTTTGAAAGTCCCTCATAGACTGACTCCTTTCCCTTCTGGGGTCAATACTTCCCTATTTTCTCATCCAGTTGCCACAAGTCCCATCTATTTTCTAAGATGACAACTGCTGACCTAAAAGTAATTTTTTCTGAGGTGTTATACATGATAAAGGTTCAGTGCATATTTTCTCCTAGTGGTGCTTGAATTTTAATGGAAGACTAAGAAGAGTACCATGTCACAACAAATGCATTTTTGGCACCAAGACCAAAGAAAGGGCCAGATAGTAAAATTCAAATCAACCAAATAACAGAATTTTAGATTAAAGAGAGACCCTATCATACTGACATAATACCATAAACATTCATTATATAGCTGTGAACACCATGGAATCTGCATTAAGTGCCCATGAAGAGAGTAGTTCCATAAAATCTGGGAGCACAAACTTAATATCTCAAATGATGTAAAATAACATATAAAGATGTAATGGACTAATGATAAGACTGAGGTTGACAAGTAATTCATATACACTCAAGAGCCTCATTATTAAGCTACTGCTGGAATTTATAAAGAAATCCTGCTATGCAGGCAGTGCACTATGTCAACAGGATCCTAAATCATATTGCTTGGAAGTTGAACTAAGGTCTTCCTATTCCCTTTCAGAAAGATCTACAAATCTTTTCAGATGTCTATTTCGAGCCATGTTTAGATTTATACACAAACACACACGTACACCCTTCACTGAGAGTTAAAGAGGATCTTTGAAAGTCATTCCATCCTTCTGGTTTTGGCTGACTGATCATCTTTCCAATGGATGAGTCATTCTAGCTGAATAACAACTTACTGATCTTTGTGGGCATTCCTGTAATGTAGACTAGGGAGTATCAAACATGTACATAGGCTCTCAGAATAAAGAGGGAGGCATTAGTCATGACACAGGGAAGTCTACCCCATGCTGCTTATTTTCCTATCTGAGGAGAAGTTATTTATCATCTGTATATATAATATTAATTTCAAAAACTCAAACTATAAATCAAGGAACTACCTAAACTTTGGTATAAATAATTGATGGAGAATTCTGTAGCATATGAAACATTACTCATTTGTGACAAGATTCCACAAAAAAGTGTAAGTATTGACAAAATAGATTCTGATGGAAGTTTTTTGGTCGATATGTAAAACTATTATTCGGAGAAATGTACCAATTATAGAAAGGAAAAAGATCTCTGGACAAGAGCAGAACATCTTTGCCAAGAAAATGTCTGTCTTCTTATCTACAGGAATACCTGACTACAAACTTATGGCAAAAAGGCAATATCTCATTGAATCTTCAATCATCTCTGTAAATTAAGCACAGAATTAATTTTGTTACAACACATTGAAGGGAAAAAACAAATGTGAAAGCTAAATGAGTTGTCTACAGTAAGTTAATATACTTCTTATATGAGGAGTTAATAAAATAGCACTGTTATAGCAAGTAAAATAAAATAAAAATAAAATAAAAGATTATTCCTTCACTGTAAAATACTGAATTGAGTAACTACAGGCAATTCAATAAATCTCTCTCTTTCACAGGCTTTGTTTGAGAAGAACAATGAAAAAGAAGTAGAGTTAAAAACTGGCAATGATATTTTTAGGGATGCCTATTGAAGAATGAGGGGTCAAGTAGAATGATGTGAAAGATTTGCTTTAAAATACTCTAGATAAACTAGGGAAAAGACAGACTAGATGAAACAAGTGTTGGCAACATCAAGATAGTAGTAGGAGCTGGGCAATGGGGATGTGGGGCTTCACAGTTACCCTGAGTTTGTGTATATTTGAAATTTTTCACAATTTAAAAAAAACAAACAAACTGTACCCAAGCATTGGAGAACAAGCAAAACCCTTCAAGGAACTAAGGATGTAGGTGAAGGACCTGCGTGTCTTAGTCTTCTCTTACGTATAAAGACCCTATTTAACCCTTGGCCCAAACTCAGCTTACAGACCACACCTACCAGCACCCAAG